AGATTGATAGTCCGACGTTCAGAAACTCAGTTTCTCGGACGTATTTCCTAAGAATTTTTCACTCTATATTCGTAAGATATTGTGTCTAAATCCGAAGCCTGGCAATGACGAAGAAAGTGCTCCATAGTTTCACTGTCCTCTTCACATGATCTACATTCGTCTGAATCTGCAATTCCAATTTTCTATTTATAATCATGTGGATCCATCATACTAATGTAGGACTTGCTTGATCGGTGAGTAGACCCACCGTATCATTATTTCAAGTTACCTTATAGGATTCTTATAGGATTCTTAGCTTATAGTTGATCGAGTTACAGAGCGCCCGGCATGAAACTGGTCTAAGGATTAGTATGTACCTAATTGATGGTGCCTTCAATGTCAATGCATACCTCCAGTACATATAGTTTGCTATCGAAGGATTTTCCTATATAGTGGACAACTATATTTAATACGGTTTGTTTCGATCTAGGACTTTGTCTGGTATTCTGCTTTTAATCTTCCTTCTATCTATCCTTTATAAGATTTTATGTAGGAAGGACGTGAGTATTATCAGTCGATAATACTTTGGTATTTCATAACTAGGCTTTCCAAATTTAGGAATGAATAATACCCTTACATCCTGCCATTTTATTGGGAATATAGTGAATATCTTTGACAAATAAGTCGAAACTAGTTCCGCTAGTTCTTTAAAAATCCGTTCTTTAAAATAACATCCGATTCTGCAGTGTTATTTGGTGCAAAAACTTCTTAGCCATGCCAGTTGTATCTATGTTAGCCTCTACTTATCTCATTATCGGTTTCTTTATGGTGCTTAGTATACCTGGTGAGAAATGAGAGTGCATTAGAGTTACACTCTAGTAACTCTTCCCAATATGTCGGAATCTGCACTGGTTAGCCATGTTTTCTCCTGATCATCTTCGCCCCGTAAATAATCATATATTTGTATTAAAGGAATCCTTACGCTTGTCCAAGGCGATGTTTAAGCTACCCCCCAAGCTACATGGTGGGCTTGTATCACACCTAATTATGTTTTCCATAATTTTTTTTTGCGGCTCTTCAACCAATTTCATTATAACCGACATTGTGTCGGAGAGAAAGGCGCAAGGTGCAAGGTTTGCAACGCTCTGTTTCAGAACCAAGTTTCTGGATTAAGGCTATATACATCTTGTCTATTTGTCCTTAGAAGCGAGTACGATTGTTAACCAGTGCTCTACCTTCTTGTGCTGTTTTATTGGTATTTTGCAAGTCGAATTCCGGCATCGTATACTGCATAGCAGAGAACGTTCCTGTGTTTTCTCTTGGCAGTTTTGGCGTTAGATTGCTGCTCTTTTTCTTTTCACTATCTAACTTCTTCTTCCAAGTTTTTATGGGCATTTTTTTTGAGACACCCTTACCCTTGAGTGTAGGACACTGATAAGGATCGAACCAAATCGAGTTGTATCTCGGACATATAGTTTATCTGTGTGGTTGGTTATATATCCAGGGGTATAGAGATACTTCTAGTCCTTCGGAACTATAAACTGGTAAATTCATTTAACTTGTGGTCTGACCAGAGATCTTAACATATCTGGTTTCAACTGGTATCGGTGATGTTTAACATGATGCACTGACAGCTAAGCTACCTTACTAACGATAGGATTATTAGCAGTTCTCCAGGTATCAGAGCTGTTCTTAAGCTGTGCAACAGACGCTTGGCGTTGTCTTACTCGCCGCAGATTTCTATAAAAAGAGCATTATTGATTGATAGATTAAGGGGTCACCAATCACTACGATGCAATTTAAGATCTTTTGTGCAGCCCTTTTGCTTCACCATTGGAGATTTAGTTCACGTATGAATCTTAAGGTTCTAGACGGTGAGAGATTGAATATTTCATTAGGCGAAAGAAAAGCGCCTCCTAGAATACTCACTCTGAGAGGCCATAATGGCTGACAGTCGCTGACAGTACATGTTCTGCGGTTTCATCATGCATTTCGCAGAATCTGTATAGCCTCGTCACATTGTTACCAAGAATGTGCTGGTGGTATCTTAGGTCACTCTTAGTGAGTGATAGAAACTTTTGTGATTTACCTTTTGTTAGCATTATGAAGCTTTTTGCCTGTCTGAGTCCTGATATTGACTCTCAGTGGCGGAGAAATTGAAAACGAATCGTATTTTTCCCTAATGTATCTTTTAGGGAAACTAAAGAATGGTTCTGATCCAATAAATGTCTGTCAGTCATTGGTCCCTTTGCGGTATAAGAACCTCAAAGTCTCTGTGTACTGTCAGTACTATTGAACTACAGTCAGGAATCCATATATATGTTTAAGTCATAAATGTATTTATAATACTCATGTGTCCCACCAAGTTACCCGCTTTTAAACTGATTATTCTGGTAGGTGAAGTGCAGATTTGCGCGCCTTATCCTTTATGAGGATGTATAATGGTGGGATGTGCAGAATAGCACAAGAGCATGTATGGGACAACTTCTCATGGCCCCTGTTATGGAGACACAAATGAGACAATAGATTTTGTCCAACGAAGCTCTTATCATCATAGCCTGATCTAATGTTATTTTTTAATGACAGTTAAATTCAAAATCTTTATTTTAAAAAATTTTCAATTGCAGCCACTCTAATAATAAGATAAATAACCAATTTATTCAATTTCAAGATACATTCAATATGTACGTACGTGTGCAAGTTTGCTGGAACAAGTATTTAATTGTTATGTCCACAAGTTAAATGTGGTGCAAGATTTCATACTTCCAGTGGACACTCTACAAAAGTCAGTCTGAGTAACAACAATCGAAATATAATCAGACACTTTGTTATTATTATATAAATATAACTTTAAGCAAACGCCAACGGTCACGTCTATTAACGCTAATAGTTTCGCGCTAAACTGCACTTCCACTGCAGCTCCAAATTGTTTGGTATGTGTGTGTGTGTTGTCTACTGGATAAAAATCAACAATTACAACTGCAAGCTTTCGAAACCCTTTTCGCTACTCTAATTCACATTCCAACTGATACTAACTACTCTATTGGAAAAACTATTTTCATTTTCAAAATACATTTTCATTTTCATAGACAACGCTGTTTGTTTGGCTGGCATTCAGTTGGTTTTTGTGCTTTAAGTTGAAAACAACCGTTAACGTGTTGCAATCGGAAATGTGGTGCGAAATAAATCGCGTTGCACGAGCTGTTGCGGTGGCATTATGCGTTTTTGTAGTAAATACTTTAGCAGTGGCGATGTCTCCGACGCCATCGCCGCCACAGCAATTGGAACTTGATAACGAAAGTGTGTTACGAACGGAGACGTTGGCCGGGGTTCAACAACTGGTTGAGCATAATTTCCTTGTTGGTATAGCCAGTTTGGGCGCATTTTATGAAATCATACTCAGTGTGGCCAAGAACTTGAAATAATGTTAAATGCAATGGCCAAACATGAAGTTTGGGGATTAAAAGGTGTGTTTGAGTGTCTGTTAGTGTGTTGTAAATGAATGAATATTGTGTTTCGCATGAATGAAATGTACTTGATTTCATGATCAAGTGTAAATAAACAAAATTTGTACTATTTCGATGTTTTACATGAATTAAGGGTATTCAGTTAAAATATTAAATTGCTATAAATTTTTATGAATAAATCAAATGATTTGTGGAAAATTTGTGAAACCCTATATAAAAGTGTACATTTACTTATATATATCCAGCAAGCAAAAAAAAACTATATACTCAAATTTTGTAAAAAAAAGTGAAATCCAGTAACAAGTAACACAAGTTTGTCAATATAAAACAAAAATGAAGTTTGTCCATTCAGCAATCTTTTCCAATGATAATTGCAAAGTGTTTTAGTGTACAACTGTGTCATCGAAAGAAAGCCAGTTTAATTTTAACTTGGTGCTAAATTGACGTCTTTAAAAATGTTGTTACAAAGAAAACAAATATGATTTGTTTTAATTTTTTTTTATAAAATGCTGATTTAGGAAATGTGGTGCGAATGTAACACTTCGAATTATTGGTCGTTTACCCGCAAAAATATTTATTTTGTCTGCCTGTTTATTTGTTTTCGGCATTCAGAAATTACAACAGTTCCATATAAGGTCTTAATTAGAATAAATATAACAGCTAAGAGTAAATTATAGAGTTAAGTGTTTGTTAAACTTAACGCTAATTTTATCAGCATCTAAGTGGAAATTCGCACTTCTCTAATACAATGTTATATTTAAACTTACCCAGCAAAATATCAATAACGAAGTAATTTCAAATTACCATCACTTCAAAAGTGTCAGTAAGTGAAATTATTAAGTCCTGCGGAAGTAGGGCTGAAACGGCTTCCCAAAACAGTAATTATAGTGGACGTAATTCTTTAGAATTTCCAATCAGTGTTCCATGAAGGATGTAATATTGGGAATGACATCGCTTCAAGACATTAGTGATTGATTTCGACAAAAGCATGACAATGACAAAGTGTTTCAGAGTTTCGTTATTCTCTTTTCATAATCTATATTCGTCTGAATCCGACTCAGAATACGTAACCTCGGACTTACTCAGTCTGATGAAGCCTCTCATTCTGCTCTCTTTTGATCACCCCATTAGATCTTGTAGTTCTACCCACCCTTTCATTATTTCGAGATTCTAGTATTGGGGTTCTCTGTCCTATGTTTTTAAATCATCCCTCTTTAGTTCAATTTTTTATCAATCATTTAAATTCCGTCTCAAGTATGCAATTGGATGCGTCCAATATTTGTGTTTAGCCTGCCAATGTGCCCAATAATGTACATTGATAAGTGTCCTATAATCGGCTTTGGTCATTTTAGCCTAAAATTTATAGCAATGATTCTAAACCAGAACAGAAAAGTTGACGTAGTGCTCATGAAACAAATTCTGAGTTACACAGAAAATCAATGAAATGTGTTTATTTTTATACCCATTATCGTTTGTAACATATCGAAATATTGTTCGTAGACCCACAAATTAAAAATTATATCTATTTTGGGATTTTATTAAATTCTAAGACGATCTAGACATGTCCGTCCGTCTGTCTGATGATCTGTTTGTCTGTTGAAAGCACGATAGAGGCCACACGGGAAAAGCTAGAGGATTGAAATTTTGCACAGTTATTATCTTAGGGAGCAATATCGGTCCACAATACACAATACGCCGTAATACAGATTTAAGAATCATAAATAAGTTATTTATGAACCAATCGTTACAAAATTTCTCACAAGTTTGTTTTATGCGCCCAGAAATTGTACTATGATGAATGGCGGACATCGGATCATAAGGCCCCTTTCCTCTCCCACATAAGACCTCATCACATTTACGCTCATAACTGGGTTAGTAATACCTATATAGAAACGTATAAAACGACATAAAAAAGTTTTACCAAATCCGCCATATTAGGACCCCTTCAGAAAATTATTTTAAAGCTCATAACTAGATTACAAATACCCGCATAGCTACGAAATTTGATAAAAATTCATAATAGATCCTACCTCCTATATAAGGTTATCCTCAGATAATGACTTTAACACTCATAACTGACTTAATAATAACAGTATAACGACGGTATTGAAATTAACGTGATTTGTAGGAACATAAATTACTCCATAAAATTTTTTGAGGATCGGGTCCATAATGACTTAAAACAAGTTTTATAGAAATTAAAATATCTTTACGAAGTTCTATACGGCCCTATTAAATTTCTAAGATTTAAGTTCATATATAGGACCACCTTCGTAATTAACTTTAATTTACAACAAGCAATCGTCCTACTGGCTGTGTTAGATAGATCCTTTTTATAGTAGGTCTGGAAACTACTTTCAGCTCAAATTGTATAAAAACAATAAAAAATTTTATATTTTTTTTAAATTTGTATGACAAGCAATATAACAATAATAAATATGTACATATGTATGTATGTGTGACATACAAGTTATTTTTTGCACTAATCTATATTTTTAATAATTGTGCGTTATTTGACATATCAATATCAATATGAATGGTGGAGTTTTCAAGCAAGTTTTCATTTCTGAAAACTCGTAAATTTGTTCAATGTGAATGTACCATAAAAAACTACACAATTATAATTTTGGGTTGGTAAATTGTAAATGTTTATTTTTTTTTTTCAAAATTGGATCACTATACATTTGATATATAATTTAACACATTAGGAGTATAACTTTTGAAATGTTTGCGAATTGTAAATGACTTACACAGAAACGACTATTACGGTTTTTATATGAAACAAGTGTTTAATAAACCATTGATAATTTTAATAATCGTGTTTGGATAGGGCCTTTAAACTATATAACTATACATATATGAAAGTAGTTAGTTGTTATCCGACCTTCAGGATAGTTGAAAATGTATTGCCTATGCTATGTCTATAACTATAACTATATTTCGAATACTGACTCCAGTAAATTAAGCCTTTTAGGTATCCCTCGATTACGCAGTTTGATTTAATCGAAAAAAATGCACTTACATAAATCGAAAACCCTTAAAATGAGATTAAATATAAAATTGTATTCCTAAGACCGCCTACCTAAAAAAACAATATTAACAGAATGATACATTTTTAAATTAAATTTGTTATGGTGATCTACTTCTGTTCCAGTATTTATTTCCAGTATTTATATTGATTTCATATCTATTATTGTCAAAATAACTACTATAGGTATGGCTATAATGCTAACAACTTATATCAGTTATATGTCAGATGCGACAGCCTAGGATAGACTTTTAAAGTGTTTTAAGAATTCCGTAACGAGTTACTGAACTAAAATTGACTACTTTTTTTAAATAAATTTAAAATATTTCCATTTTTTTCTTTCTAGTAAAAATCTATTGATGTTTTACATAAATAGAAGTTTGGGCCTCGATTTATGGGGTGGGTTTGTACTGATATTTGTAATACACAAACATATTTGTCCTATATCTCAAAGTATAGAATCATTTTCTGAGTTAAATAAACCATGTCCGTCTGGATGTCCTTGTACAGGTAAATATCGGTCCATAAGTTCCCTTAGTCCCCATACAACGAGAACCCTTGGAATTATGTTTAATATGTTTAAAATGGTATCTCTACCAAAATCGGTAGAACTAAATCTTAATATAAGCCTGATTCTGTCGACTTTTGTAATGATCGGCATTCAGTTCCCACACAAAGTCCTCCTCAGGAAATGTCTTGAATGACCTTATTTTCCTTAGAACACGTCGATTTTTGTCTGTATGTCTGGAAGGAACAATTTACTTTAAAATTTCAAGTGGGCGAGGTCATATACATACAAAATAAATATTAAAAGTTGTATATCTCAGAAACTGCAACCGATAGTGGTAAAGTTTGTATGGACAACATTGACATTCATATCTGGCAATAAAATGGGTATCAACATGAACATTAAAGGAAATATTTTATAAAAGGTTTATAAAACAAAATTTCCACACAAAATCTAATTTATAAACCGTTTATAAAATAAAAATTTTGTTTGTGAATAAGGGGGAAAAACTCGTATATTTGGGAAACTATTAGAACTAGAATCTTAAAATTTTGCATGTGAACATTTAGCGAAGAAATGGGAGGACTAGCAACAGGAGCGTGATACCTCCCATATTCATTAAATACAGAAATTTGTATATCTGAGAAACTTTAGAAGCTTCAAAAATCTTAAAATAGGTTTTTTTTTCTATTGTTTTTAGTGTAGTTTTATAAATGCCTCCATCAAATGTTATTTGGAAAGCCTCTTTCAGAATATCAGTTTTATGTCAACAAATTGCTTAAGTACATTTGCATTAAGGCTTTATAAAAAATAGCTCGCATTTTAAATTTACTCATAACTGGAATACGGTATCAAATGGTCGTCCATGCCCGACTATACTTGCCTACTTCTTTTTGAACGCGTTGGTGGCGTATCATAATGCCCATGGTCGGTATTCGAAATACCCCAGAGTTCAAGTCCCTGATTCAGGCCGGCTATCTAGGACTCTTTTTAAAAGAAATCCAAAATGCTACATACACTTCTTTCCGGATAATTCTAAACAAATTTTCTAATACATTTCTGTTACAATGTCCATCAACATTATAACATTTAAAAAAAGTCTCGCTTTATTGTAGGTCATAAGGTCTATGTACATTATGACACACCGCCGAAAAAATTATTTTATTGTTTAACCGTGTAAATCGAGGGTTTTTCATGGACTTTATGTCACTTTCCTCATGGACATTGTGTGCCATAACGTCCATGGACACAATGACACATATTTTTGGTATGTCGTAACGTCCATGGACATTATTTGTTACAGAAGTTGATTAATTACAATTGTTATCCGAATTTGTCTTTAAACCTAGTAATAGTACCCAATGTGCAAGTTATATCTTCATTTTCAAATAATATTAATTAAAATTATGTCATTTTCTACTTGTGCAACCAATTCATGTAAAGTTAAACACGAATATGTTAAAGTATTTTGTGAAGTGAAAAACAAGGAAGAATTTATAGTTGGGCATGGCTGACCATATGATACCCTACTACAAAATTTAATTATTTTTTTTAATAATGAAGTATTTAATTTAATTTTTACCTTAATTCAGAAATATTTTAACAATTTGTTGACAAAAAAGGAATTTTCTAAAAGAGAGGTTATATGGGGGCAGGGGGTTAATGTGGCCCTATCCTTATATATTTTGGTAGAAGGATTTACGTCTACATCAGTTATTTATGCAGAATATCATCGGGACATTAGCGTTTATAAGTGAATTTTGACCATCAAGTCATTTTCTGAAGGGGACTTTGTATGGGGGATAGGATCAAATGAGGCCCGATCATTACAAAATCAGTAGTATTATTAAGACTCATAAAAAACTAAGTGTTGCCGATAAGTGATACAAAAGCATTTAGTATATTTGTGAGCTCAAAAGCCCTATTCGGGGAGAACGGTTGTATGTAAGCTACATATATGAAATAATGGACCGATTTTAACCATTTTCAATAGGCTTGGGTCAAAAGAAGAGAAAATGCTAAATCATTTATCAAATTATCTTGAAAATTGCAATCTGTAGAGTGCGCACAAGGTTTACATGGACACACAGACGGATGGATATAGCTAAATCGACTCAGAAAGTGATTCCAATATATTTGGGTGAGAAAGTTAATCTCTATGTATTTAATTATAATTATTAGTTGAAGCCCAAAAATATTAAATGTTTGAAGCCCAAAATATTAAAATTGTTCAATAAGAACGTACTGTATAAAATCTTGTTTAAAAGAAATATTTCTAATTGGAAAATTTGAAAATTTCTCATTTGTTAAAATTCTTATTGTCATTTTAGTGGATTTCCGTTAAATATGTAGGTAAAAGAAAACAATTAGGGGTTTCGTTCAAAAGTCTCACAAACTGTGCACTTTGTCACAAATTGTTTGCGATTTTACTTCCACAATACCGATACACTTGATCGCCTATTTGAACAGATCATTATAACCTACACCACTATAGTATTATGCGTTTGTGGTGATGTTTGTAACATCCAAAAATATTGATACTACACCCACCTTAAAGTATACTAATCGGCCCAGTATCACTTTCTGAGTCGATTTAGCTATGTCCGTCCGTCTGTCTGTCCGTCCGTCTGTGTGTCCATGTAAACCTTGTGCGCACGCTACAGGTCGCAATTTTCAAGATAATTTGATGAAATTTGGCACATACTCTTCTTTTGATTTAAGTTTATTGAAAATGGTTAAAATCGGTCCATTATTTCACATAGCCCCCATACAACCGTACCCCCAAATATGGCTTTTGAGCTCATAAATATGTTAAATGTTCGTTTTTCACTCCAAAAATCGGCAAAACATAGTTTTATATAAGTCTTAATGATACTGCTGATTTTGGTAATGATCGGCCCTCATTTGACCCTATCCCCCACATAAAGTCCCCTTCATAAAATAACTTGATGGTCAAAATTCACTTAAAAACACTACGATATTCTGGATAAATAACTTTAGTGTACACATAAATCCTTCTACCAACATTATTAAGGTTAGGCCCATATTAACCCCCTACCCCCATTTAACCCCTATTTTAGAAAATCCCCTTTATCTTTAGTTACCTTTAAATTAGCTTTAAATTAAAAAATGGATTACTTTCTTACAGTTTTGGACTCTTTTGGTTCAGCCCCAAAAACATTTACTTGGGGAAACTATTTTTGGTTTGGTACACCCGATTTATGCGCTGATCTTAATGATCCATTCACCATCAGCTTATCGCATTCACAGCCACCAATTTTCAATGCCACCAGTCCGTTTCCAGTGCAATTCTTTGTGGTGTATTTAAATTTTACCACACCCTATTATATCGATATTAAATTACCGTTCGAGGTGAGCAGTAATTCTTCGTTAAAAATGCTTATTAAGAACTAATTTCATTTCTTTTCAGAATCTTATTCATCTGGGTTTATGTTTGCCAAAAAGTTGTAGTGTCTCGAAAATCAGTTTCTACACTGATATTTATTTTCAAAAGGAAACTTTTCAAATGCAACGTAATTTTAAGTTGAAAATGAAAGCTTTAGATGCAAAAGCTGCTCATTTTAGTTGGAAGTATATTATTCAAACTGGCAGTATTTTATTTATGTAAGTATGTGTTGAAATTTTTATGCACAGTGGGATATGATTGTGGAAATCTACTGCTTTTTCAACCCTACCCCATTTATTCCCCTTTTGGCAGGCAACACTTTTAATAAAACTTTTTTTATTATCTTCCAGTACAATACTCATAACAACCACTCTGTTGACAATATTCGCCGAAGTTCTTTATAATTCCAAAAATAAAATAAAGTTTCAACAAACATCGCACATGAAAAGCCAACAGAAATCACCAATCCACGGCATACCCACCACCACCAACAACAACAACCGCAATCATGAAGTACCAGTAAATCAATATGACTTAAGCGAAAGTTCCATATGGGAAGAGCTTTTGATGTGCTTTCGTTTTTCACTTAATTATAAAACCGTTATGAGTTTAGAGAATTCAAATTCGAATTCTAAATTTTTAACTGCAATGACGGGTTTTCGCACCATCATCTGTTTGTGGATAACAGTATTTCATGTCTACTACTATTCCCTGTTTGCCATATCGAATACCCCCTTTATCTTTGCCAAACTGGAGGCTTTTACTTTGCAGCCTGTTTTGCAGGCCTGTTTCTATGTGGATGTTTTCTTTATAATGAGGTTTTTGAATGAATGAAAAATAAAACTTAAAGATTTGGCTGTAATTTTCAGAAAAATATAAAAATAATTATTTTCTAGTTCTTTTCTTTTAGTTAATAATTTCCTATCAAATGTCAAACTATTACAACAGATAAGGCGGCAATCCTGTTGGGGAAATTTAAAACTTTTTACTCGTTCTTTGTTGCAACGTTATATGCGGTAAGTTGTATGAGATTTTTGAAACAAATATAATTCTGATAAATATTTAGTTACATTCATAACTCTTTATTAACTTTTTTTACAGTTTAACTCCTGTAATGATTGTTACAATGCTGTTGAGTACCATGACTTTGGATTTTCTTAATATGTATTCACCCTTTCGTTTAAGCGAAAATAGTGGTTTCTATTGTAAAACGTAAGTAATTATTCGAGTGATATTTTTATTATAGAAATTTATACGGGTAGCATGTAAATTACATTACAATCAGTGTAATTGAATCTTTTTATCGAAATATTCTATTTGTATTTTTTAAAATGCGACAGACATATGTAAAACATGATCAATTAGTGATCAGAATCTATTTTGTTTATTTAAATGAGATTAATTGACGAACAATAAGCACTATTTTTCTAAATTGTTTATGATGGTTTGACAACGAAAAATTTTATTCATAAAAAAAGAATAACAGTAATATACTTGCATATTAGGGTGTCAAGTGGACCATTCTTTTCTAGGTATAGCTCTCAAACGATAAGTATTAATGTACTGAAGACATTAAGCTAAAAATTAAGGAATTTTTGAGACCCAATTCGAACAGATTCCAGAAAAATTTTATTTTACATATTGTACTGAGATCAAGATTTTTCAAGTTTTAAATTTGTCCGAAAGATGTCGTCGATGTTTTAATTTTTAATCAGTTAGACCCATACTGACTATTTTCGAATTTAAGAGGTACATATATGTATAGATCTTTCCGTATAGAGTCCGCATGTCCAATCAAGGTCCTGCAACGCACCAGTAGTAAACAATAAAGAAAAACATTCGATCTTACGTAGTACATAGTATGATATGGTAGCAATGGCATGTAGCATGGGATTAATCTCAATGCAAAGCCAATAGAAGGGGCGGCCCCAACTCCAGTTAAAATCAATCTTCCGGTAAACCGGAAGGTGACCACCCTTTAGATGTCATGAAAGATACCATTGTTTAAAATGATATCCCCATCAACTAATAGCCCATTCCAGTGCATTCCTTAACCTCTCAAAGCCCGCGCAACCACACTACTGAGACGTATTTGGTAGTCTGAAATATCCAGCCAATAAATCAGGTTCCCTCTGTATGTCAGATAATGTGACAAAGTACGTAGGAATTTCCAAAGCCAATTCGAACCCAATATTTGCACCGACAAGTTGGGTGGTGGACCACAAAAATAAGTCGCGTAGCCTGAAACAATATGCATCCTGCTGAGATGGCAACAGCACCAAGAACTTCCCTAAAGTAACAGGTCTACTAAATCAGTACTAGTCTCCTGTAAGACAGAGGAGTCTTTCTTCTGGTTCGATCACCAACTCACATACATCAGTTCCATTCTCATATCATAAAGAACGATCTACGGAATGACAGGCAACTACAAAGTGTCAACCTGAAAATTTCTCAACCTATACTGGCGCACTACTACGCGAAGAGTAAGATATACTCAATGGGTTCAAGAATCCAGCATAAGTTGCTCTGTGACATTACCCAGCGACATCTGTTGAGATGGCAACACCACCGGAGAAAGAGTCCAGACATATATGGCATAAGATATATCAGTCCTTAAACCAGCATTCTCTCCCCGCAAATTTGGGTTTAAACCACAGCAACTATGTAGAAACCGAAGACACCTCAACCAACTGACCAGCCAGGAAAAGTCCTGCGGGCAACTGGCTACCCGTACTGCTCATGTCAAATAATTACAAGGAAACACCGAGGATACATTTGATCATCACCAGTTTATAGTCCCGCCAGACTAGAGGTATTGGTAGCACCTCTTTTCCCCTGGATATTGCAATAACACCAAGACGGAAATTTCACCAAGGTAACATGCCTCCGGGACATATATCTGGAATCAGTATTTCCGACATATTTTGTGTCTGTTATCCGATCGAGCACGTCCGATGATTGTGTATAGCCTTTAAATGAGTGCCCTACAACCGCCATTGGTCTGTTAGCCTAAAGTTAAGAGTCGTTCGTTTATGTTTCAATAGGAGGATGATCTAGGCACTTTTGCAGACTTATACCCAATTAGCATGTACGCTGAACTCCATGTTGTGATTTTTCCATAAAATTGTTTGTCCTTCAGATTATAAGTTAAAACTGGCCTTATCATCGCTTTTATGAAGCCAGTGTGTCGTAGTAGGATTTACCACTTCATGTAAATAGTTTTCCTACATTAGCACCTAGTACCGATTTGCCTTATTGTTCCTATCCTTTATGTGATGTCTCCATTAAAATTTCCGATCAAGAATTACTCGGTAACCGATATAGAATATCTTTTTCGTCCTTTAAAGTTGGATCCAAAAAAAAAAAAAAAAATATCTTAATATCTAATTTTTTATAAAAAATAACGACCGCCTCTGGGAATGCATTTTCAAGCTCAATCTTCCGCCGGTGTTTTAATGTAAGGTATTTAATGCAAATTATACATTTTTGAAAGATTGAGAAGCAGTAATAAATTACATCAGGATTTCCAGATATCGCTTCAGATAAGCTTCTCCTGAAGCTTAAAAAACACCGTTTCTACATTTCGAAGAAGAATTTATAACAGTAGTTAAACCCTTCTCTTAAAGTCGACAGACGGGACATTGAGGTCCAATCAGATTTTAATAATAAATTTATCTGTTATAGCGTCCCATATATGGTAATAATGTGGAATGCTTTATGTTTTTAATTATGGGACCAGATTCGGATTCTGCGTTGCTTAATCCTTGAGAAAAAGTATACTTTGGTTTCTGGGTTTCTACTTATTTAAAATTTTGCCTACCTTTATGCCCTTTGTCCCTTTACTCTGGGCAAGCACGATAAATAGTATCCTAATGACCATAACCGAGAAAGGACTTAGACATGTCTGCTACCGAGAAAAGACTTACCCCCATATTTATAAACGCATAATAAAGTTGTTGATGGTTTATTGTAGGAATTTTGTATGGAAAATGTGTGTAATAAACCTAAAATAAACGATTAATATCTTTATGAATACGGGGGTTAGACATGTCTGCTATGCAGACGATGTCGTTATATTTCTAAGGGGAAAGGATTCAAATTACTTGTGTAGAAGGACTGAAGAAGCTCTCACGGCCTTGAGCTAGGCTCAATCTAGATGCCTCAATGTTAACCCGGCGAAGACGGGTTAAGTACTTAGGTGTAATGACCGGAAATTAAGATGGAAGTACCACATAGAGCAAAGATTTCACAAGGTACATAGGTAGTGGGAGCTATGTAGAAGAATCATAGGTATGAAATGGGGCCTTAGTCCTACTATGACACATTGGCTTTATAAAAGACTAATTAGACCAATTCTAAGCTATGATTCAATAATCTGGTTCAACGTACATGCTGTTTGAGTATAGTTGGGTATAAGCCATGAGCACTACGTCAACCAAGACTCTGGAAACAATGCTAGATATTCCACTTTTTAATACATATCTTTTATATATACAAGATATGAGGTGGCACTTACAGCCAAACGACGGCTCATAACATTAGGCGAACTGGCCAAAAGCGGTTATAGGACATGTCATCAAGTTATACTGGACATATTGGAAGGCTATACACAATCATCAGAAGTGTCCGGTCGCATACTAGAGACAAATTATGTCGGAAAGTTTGAAACGCTGATCCCAGATATAATGTCCTGATCTTTAGAGCAAATACCAGTAGGTATCCGTTGCTACACGGATGACGCTAAATTGGGAGACAAAGTGGGCCTGGGGTTTTATATTGAAGATCCAGAAATAGAAAAATCACAACACTAGCTTCCAGGCAGAAGTCCGAGCAATAACTGAATGCGTAAATTGGATTAGAATAAATAGAATCATAAGGCAATTAAGGCGAAATCAGATGATAAAGTTAAATCTAAGATCCTATTGCATTGTAAAAAAAGTTCTAACCGAATATTCTCCCAGAGGTAAGGTTCATATCATATGGGTACCAGGCCACTCGGGAGAAGTCGGGAAGGGAGCTCGAAGTAGTTAACCTGACGAATGGAAAACCATTGACGCAAAGAGGGCAGAATTAAAATTGTGGGTGAGAGAAACCCAAAAGGTCTTCTGGAATAATGAAACCGATCCTATGGGGTGACCCTAACGAGGGCGATTGTATAGTATGGTGGTACGTATTCTGAGTGGTCACATAGGATTACGAGCATACCTAAGTATACAATATTGGACGTGCGGATTCAAACGAATGTAGATGTTTCCATCGAAAATGAAAGTTTACTTCAAGATAACGCGCCTTAAAAAATTTTTGGTGGGGTCAATATTTGGTGAGATGGATTATAGGTCCCTTATATAGTTTTTCTATTTTTTCATATTTCAAGCAAATGAATGACATGAAATCTAGATATCACGTAAGACATCTTAAAGAGACACACAATTTTTGAACATCAGAGACGGTGAAATTCGGGTTTGATTTGTTATGTTTCAATGAAAAAATTAATGCATTTGAGCAAAAGAAAATGACTGGTTGTTAACTTATTTTTTCGTGACATTATGGTTCATCCATTTCTTGGTAACTGAAAAAAAAAACTTTGCGTTTAATCACCTTAAAACGTTATCTATGGCGAGTTTAATTTAACTAGAAATTCATTCCAAATTATCTACTTACTACACTCCTTCCAAAAACAAATTGCACAATTTATTGAATTACTTATTAAATTGATATAGTTTTCTACTTATTTAACAGACTTTATTTTGTGAAATTTTCCTTATAGCAACTGGTGGTATAATCTCCTTTACATACACAATTTGCTGGACATGAATGATATTTGTTGCTCGTGGACCTGGTATTTAGCATGTGAAATGCAATATTTTATTTTATTCACTGGATTGTTGTTTGTGTATGTTAAAAAGCCAATTGCAGCCAAAATAGTATTTGTCACATTAGCACTGGGATTTGTGGTCATCGGTTGGATGTGTAATTTTGGCAATGGAATAACATTTGAGTAAGTAGTAATGACCAGTAGCAAATGATACTGTTTCACATATTGATGTTGGAAACGCAACAAATTGTTGTTATTAGATTATAACGTTTGTATGTATGTTGTAATATGCTTGGCAAAAAAGGTATAAATTGTCAACTCCTTCAAACTATTTAGTTTAACTTTAAGTCCATTTTATGACCATAAACATAAAACTAACCAAACTAAAGAGTCCATCCCCCATTAAAGCCCTCAATCCGCAACCAGTAAACCAAACAACTAAACAAACAAATAAAACATCAATCTGGGGAAACCTTTCTAACCAACATTTTCATTTATTCATTCATTCAACATTTACTTTGACAGAATCGATGTCATCTACAGTACACTCAATCAGTTGTATGTCAAGCCGTGGGTTCGCATACCACCTTATTTAGGTGGTGCAACAATGGGTTGGTTAATGCACACACTGCAACAGAAACGCCATCAACAACAACAACAACCACACCAACATCATCACCAAAAAGAACAACTGCAACAAACAGAGCATCAAGTCGAACAACAACAGCAACAACATGTCAGTGTAATGGCAGAGACTCATCATCCACAGCTCCATCACCAGCATCTGCATCATCGTCATCATCACCATGCAAATCAGCATGAACATAAAGAACATGTTCGCACATTCGGTCGTAAAGCATTTTGGCTTTTTTGCATTGTCCTCTATGTGACAACGAATTTTATGAGTTACTGGCGCTCTACGCCCTCTTGGGTGGTGGCGACAATTATGTCCATGGGTAAATTGCTTTTCGCACTTTGCATCGGTGGTGTCATCATCATGTGCGCTTGTGGTCGCGGTGGCTGTCTCAATGTATTGCTGAGTGCGCGACCGTTTTTATTTTTGAATAAATTCTGTTTCAGCATTTATATGCTGGCTCCCGTCGTTGTTGTGGCCATGTTTGGTTTACGCAACGAACCCACCAACTTTACCGAAGTCGGTTCGGGAGCCGATTTTTTCACCGTCATCGTTTTGTCCATAATGTCAGCATTTTTAATGTTGATTTTAATTGAGTTGCCAACGCAAAGAATTGCAAATCGTCTACTTAAACAAAAGAATTCGTAAATGGAGGGAGAAATCAATTTCTTTATAAATTTAATAGGGGGGATTTAATCATCAAAATAAGTGCATGTGTGCATGTGTGTCGTCTCTGCAGTAAATGGCCAAAAAAATAAGATTTTCTAATGATTGAGGAACATTTTTATATAAAGTGTTATTTTAATTTTATGGCAATGGGGAATTTATATTGAAATTTACAAAATTGTGTAAATGTTTCTTAGAAATGGATGAACCATGTTACACATTTAGCGTTTTTTTATGTATTTAATGTTTTTGATATGTATTTTTAATAAATATTTGTTTGAGAAATTAATGATTAATAAACTCCATCCTTTTTTATTTTTATAAAATTTTCCAACGTTTTCTTATTTAATCGATAAACTGGGAGTTTAAATCAAATAATTTTCAGCTGTGCTACAATGGTTCTGAAAACCCCAAGTAAAAATTTTTTGCTGCCTTGCCCCATATATAAGGAGGTTCCCAGCTTATTTATGAATATGGGAGAGTTGCGCGGTACTTCGGGTTATTTTGGTAAAGGAATTTAGCTTGGAAGGTTGAAGAGCTGAATAAGTATATAAGCGGAAAGGATATCTTAGCTTGACGATGGCTTAGCGGTAACCATAGCCACCTTGTTCATTAATTATTGAAAAGTTATTGATGATTTATAATTATTTAATCTATCAATTAGAGTTATGCCTACTTACCGGCTAACCAGGTGACTAGCTATTCCCTGTCCTTCAAGGAAGTTAATCTTCACTTTATAAATTACAATGAGACAAACAGAAAGCTAGTATAAATGTTTCAATTTATGGCAATGATCCTTTTCGCTTAATTTCATTTTTAAAATGACTAAAGAAAATACTTTCTTCACTCTCGTCTACAAAGAGTACATTCGTGATGAAAAACGAATAAGATCCAACCAGGTGGTTAGACGTTAGTTAGTGGAATTTACGTTACTCTTTATCCACGTAGTAGCTGTGGTTTAAACCCAAAATTACGGGGAGAGAATGTTGGTTTAAAGACTAATATATCCAAATTCCGTATATGCCTTTCCGGTGTTGTTGCCATCCAAACAGATGTCACTGGGTGATGTGACAGAGCAACTTATGTTGAATTCCTGAACCCGTTGAGTATCTCTTACTCTTCGCGTAGTAGGGCGCAAAATAGGTTGCGAAATTTTCAGGTTGACACTCGGTAGTTACATGTCCGTAGATTATTCTTTATGGTCTAAGAATGGAACTGATGTAAGTTGGTGAAAGATTGATAAGGGCCCACCTATCATCTTGTCGGGAAAATTATTGGGTTTGATTGACTTTGGAAATTCCTACATCCTTTGTCACATTATCTCAACGTACAGAGGGATCCCGATTTATTAGCTGGGTATTTCGGAGTACCAAATATGTCTCTAGGTGCTGTTGCCGAAGCAATAGAGCCTTGTGATGTGGCTGTGAGACTGAGGGAAGAGAAATCTGCCTGAGCGGATCGTTAAAGAATGGGGAAGCTACAACATCGCTCATGACAACGCTTATACCTGATGGTCCATCTCGGCGGTACATCGAGATTCAAACGGGTATTGTTGTTGCAATGTCCGAAGTAAGTGTTTCATAAATTTATTATTTGGCCAGATCCAGTGTTTCGTCTGTCACAGATGTGCTGAATAACCAAATTTAGAAAAATATAGCTTATTCAATAATGTATGTTAGTGGCATATATGGTGGTACATCTTTCTACATAAAATTTTTGAATTATGAATTATGACAGTCATGTCTTTCTTCTTCGCAATGTCAACAATTGTCAAAAAATGCTTCATTAAAGATATCGAGGAAATATAAATCTAAAATTTCCAAAAATACTTTAAATGTATTAAATTTATCACATAATTTATCACCAAGTTCATACTAGATTCTATCTAAAAACTATACATTCCCTTTATAAAAACTATTGGAATATCACGTCTATTTAAATCAAAGTATTTCAATTGACAACAAAGTGTGTCATCTCGTACAATTCCAAAAAAAACTATCAAGCAGATAAAATATAAAAATTTATTGCGTTGGCATTTCATGTTAAAAATTTCGCCCACTAATTTCAAATACTGATCGATAGCAATTGTGTGCAATCTGAAGCCAAGTGTCTCTACTGTTGCACCTTTGTGTTCGTTAATATTTCATGGTAACACAGCAACTTTAGCACAAACAACAATAAAGTCACGAAAAAAACACAAAAAGATAAAGTAAATGGGAAAAAAAACTTTGTTCATCGTTATGATCATCATCGTCATGATCTTTTTCATACGCATCCATTATCAGCGCAAATCATGGGTTTAACACATACGTACACACTTACTTTTACTCACACGCAATATTTGCTACGAGATGCATTTTGTATTGTTGTTGCAAGTTGTAGTTGTTATACAACAACGCCATCGATTATCATACTTCGTCTTCTTTGAAATGATTACGATCTTATTTTACTCTTCTTGTTTTTATTTGGAATCTATAATATGAAATGAAAAAATTTCAAAAATCTTTAAAATCAGGAAAAACCTGTTTGTGGCAGGTAGATTTCTAAAGATTTTTTTCTTTCCTTTACGACAAGGGTCATAAAACGAAACGTAGATGCGTATAACTAAAATGATCACTTTCAAACACACACACACATACACAGAATCATATTAGTCTTAAAAAAGGATCAGGGATTAAAATAGAATCTATTGTATTTTCATTTCGGAGGGTTAGTTTTAAGGATAGACTATCGGAAAAATAAATCCCTTGAAAAGGCATAACATATGTATGTACGGACAGACAAACGGATGGTTGCAAAGGAATTTATTTTGTGGAACAGGTAGAATTTCATTTAAGGCATTTTTGTTCTTAAAATAATAAAATAGATGATGATGTTAAAAAGGAAATTGTAGTGATTTTAAATTTTGTTGCATTTGTATGTGTGAAGGGAATCGACGATGCAGAGTACAAAGTTGATGCAGTTTAAAGCGTCAATCTGCCGCCCTCTTGATCTCATATGTCATGACTGTTAAAAATAAGGTCTAGAACATCAAAAACTTTTGATTCCCTAATATAAATGAAACAAATAGATTTATCTAGTATTTGAATCTTAAAATAGAATGCGGATTCTTGTGAGTATTGAAATTAGCTTTATTAGTAAGGTTTTTGAATCCCATGGCGTCCATAAACCTCATCAATTGAATCAATAATTTGAAATGTTGCCTTATTTCACTAACAGGAGTGCCACACTGAATGTTTGAACTGATTTAGAGAAACAGATAACGAAATTTCTCGTTTGATGAGATCCAATCTTCCACAATTACTTTGTACAACCTCTAAGAAAGCTAATTGTTACGATAAATGTGTTCCTTGTCCTACACCGTCGAAATCTTTGCGAATTTCTAATAACAACACTTTACTTTTAACAAAACAAAGACATTAGTAGAATGCATACAGTCGAAGTCCAGATAGAGTCCAGCAATAATATATAATTTAACTACAAATCCGAATTCCAATTAATTTTCCAAGACTTTGATGGTTTTATCTAATGAATGGCCTTTAGCCGTAAGGGTCCCAATTATTTCTGAAATTAGGGAGAATCCAAGAATCCAACCCAAGCAAAATGTCCATAATCATGGATCTGTAACGTTGGAGTTGTTGAGATCGATGATTTTGGATGAAGTTGATATTCACTAGCAATCAAGTCTCCAGTATTTTGTCACTTTGGAAACAACTTTCCAACGTTGTTCAACGGAGTTATAATTCAGTGCATTGAGGAAGTTAACCTGACAAACATTGAACTGTTCGACGCAATATGAGCATAGACCACAGAATCACACAAAAAATTCTGAAACGATGGATACCACCACAAAGATCGTATGGAGTGACTTAAATGGGAAGGTTTGTCTGTATCATTAAATGTTATCGGAGAGGACTGGGAAACGCTAGAACATATTCTTTGCCATTGTCAGGCATTCGTCGAATTCAATTCAAATATCTAGGGAGAGATGTTGTAACTGTTATCCCTCAAAACCACTGATTGGAAAATTCTTAAGAATTACGTCCAGGAATGTGAGATGCTAAACATCGGATGTTTTCTACCAATCTTTTCCATGTAAAATAGCGTACAACAGGTCCAATAACGATAAGTAAATAGGAATGATTTTCAAATAATTCAATCAAATTCGGATCAGTAAATCATACTCTTTCTTGCAAGAAATCGGTATTGAGAAACTATGATTCTTCATTGCTGGTAGAAACTTCTACTTTCTGCTTATTTCTCCAACTTCCGAATACTTCCTCACTGTAAGTGATTGGCATTTTGGAGTTTAACGAATATTTTTATTTTATCATGATAATATTCTTTTCGGAATGGTCGGCATTATTGCAAAATATAACAATGTCCAGAAAAGTTAAACGATATAATGCGGAAATTCGAATGTTACTAAGTCGGGAAAATTAAACCTAATCCAACAAAGACAAAAACTTATGTTTGTTTTTTAAGTGCTCACTCTCTCGCATACAAGGAGGACACTAAAGTAACTATTACCTTCACCCTCGTTTGCAAAGAATACATCCATGACATAAGAAGAATTAGAGCCAACCAGGTTGTTAGACGTTATTGGAAATCATGCCTTTTTCGGATGCATTGTCTCTTTGTCGAACTGCTGGGAAATTACAAAGAAATTCCAACTACTAATCAAAAATTTCATATACATTAATACTCTGAAACGATATATTTTCAAAAAATTCACTACGGTTTCCCAGATTTCTCAAGTATCGGCGATATTATACATTAAACGATCGACAATGGACCTCTGACTTTAAAGTGCAAACCTTCTAACTTACGCACAGAAAGTTTTTCATCACACATTTACATACATATGTATGCGTCAGAGTCTAAATGTCTGTTTGTATGTGTGTTTAAATTCCTTTAGCCTGTTTAAATTCCTTGTATTCGTTTCAAAATTTAAGAAAGAGTGTCTGTGTGTATACGATTTTTATATGTTTACTTTACTGTACATACCCCCAAAAAATGAAAATAAAACAAAAAAAGAAGCAGAAGCAGGAGGAGAGGAAAGGAAAGAAAAGAGAAGATTTCAAATCATTTCACATCCTCGTCAACATTGGTTTATTCTCAATGCCTGTTTGAATGTTGAAATAAATTTACGGATGGTGTATGTTTACATTAGACTAGTACACAATAATGAGTTTCTGTTTTATATACATAAAATGGAGTCTTTGTCCAACTATTGCACATTGGCTTCATAGAAGCATAATAAGATTTTAATTTATGCT